CCTGTTAGGCATTCTTGTTTGCCAAATATCAAAATAGTGGCAGATTATTTCCCTCTCAATCAACTTATTGATTAATTATTTCAGCTGTGATCTGAAATCCCTCTCCGATCTAAGATTGAATCCCACCACAGTTGTGTCTACCCTGACGGGACTGCTAAGTCTCTGTTTGATAAAGCACAGTCAAAGTGAAGGATATCCAGCGCTCTATCAAGTTTGCTTTAGAGCTAGTTGATCCCAGACGAAGATGGTCAAACAGTTCTCCCACACAGTGTTTGTAAAAGATCTATTGAACTGCGCTTGTCACTCCACCCAGAGCAGTGACATGAATATTACAGTTAATCACCAGATCATTTTACATCTGCATTCAGGAACTGAAGAGTTTTGCAAGCCCCTGCTTAGTCATTTTGTTTTATTGTGGTGTTAAGAAGTTCCTTTTAAGTTGTGCAAATCAAAAATGTTGGTCACCACCATCACTTTGGTCCAGCCTCAAAGAGCTGTTGGCATGGCTGTGGACTCTGTGTCCAGTAACTTAGAAAATAGTTTTCAATTTGCTATTGGATCCAAAGATTGGAAGTTGATCAATCTGCTTAAATTAGATTTAAGCAGATTGATCAGGCTTGAATTCTGATACCACAATTCAAAACATCTACTTGGGATAACTAGTAAAACCTGGGCACTTCCATTTTTTTTCTTAATTTTTAAGCCTGGGGATTTTTTCTCGTTTGTTTGTTTGTTTGTTTGTTTGTTTGAGTAAATCTTCCCCTTGAAATTTTAAAGAAGGGAATTCAAACCACATCAATCCAGATTGATGACTCAAAGTCACATGTTTCAATGTAATGAATAAATATTACAGTAAGTATTTTAGTATTAGTAGAAGACACATTTCATAAGTAGGTATTTAGTTGCCAGTAAAATTCAACTTATCACAGCCTTTCTCTTTGCTTTCATAGTGTTACCAGATAATCAAATAAAACATTATATTTTACACTGAACACTCAGACCAAAGAAACGTATTGTATGACATGAAAATAGCAGAAATTAACTAAACTTTTCTTTTTCATGCAGATATGCGGTCTAGCACTGATCGTGGTGGGAGTCCTGGTTCAGGTGGCTCTGCACAACACCTTTATGATCCGTGATGCAACAGCCTCAGGAGCTCCCATCGTCCTCATTGGAATCGGTGTGGTGATCTTCTTCATCGCCTTCTTCGGCTGCTGTGGAGCCTGGAAAGAGAACTACTGCATGGTCACAACGGTAATTGTTAACCATAAAACAACATAAACATTGAATTGGAATTTTGTGTGCAAAACATGTATAATGTAGTTTAGAGTTGTTTAATTCAAAATATTTTTAATTTGTCGCTTTCCTCCAGTTTGCCATCCTCCTCTCGTTGATCATCATTGTTGAGATTGCAGCTGCGATTGCTGGATACGTCTTCAGAAACAAAGTGAGTCTATAAATTCACCGTTTTGTGTGTTATCTAATGCCCTGCAGAAGTTGTGGTTTAACTTGCTGCCATGTTGTGTCTCCCGTTTAGCTCTCAACTGTCGTCCAGGATAGCCTCACTGACATGATTTCCAATTACAACAACAGCACAGATGAATTCAGAGACAGCGTGGATAAACTGCAGAGGGATGTGAGTTCACTGTAAACTCTCCTACTCACTGTTTATTTAGTCTGACAACACCTTCATATAACACTGCTGCATCCTGTTGGTTGGCATTGCATGATATGACATGACAGTATTTTTCTTTGCACCATCTGTTAACACAAGTGATATCCTTTCACAGTACATTGGTCATGTGTGGCCTGATACATGGCAATTCCATATTAAATATTTTGCATTTGACTCATTTGCACTTTCAGTTGAAATGCTGTGGTGTGAACAGTTCTTCTGACTGGAGAAACTTCAGACCTGACAGAACCTCAGTGCCTGACTCATGCTGCGTGAATGTCACTGCAAACTGTGGAATCGGAACCATGACAGATGCTGCCAAAGTGCACCAGGAGGTAAAACCCTAATGACAAATGTTATGAAGTCAACAAATATGAGATTTAGTTACATTTAAAATCCTCAAGCTTTCAGTCCCTGTTGATTTTACAACACCTGTGGTTACTGCTGGTAACAGCAAGTGTGGTTTAATAACAAGCCTAGGCTACTGTGTCAGAAATACAACAGAAAAGCAACGGATGTATCTGTTAATGGTGCAGCCAAACACATTAATGTTTTTTTAAAGAAGTCAGTCAGTAATTGGTGTTTTCCACTCATGCCACAAGCAACCATTATCTGATTTCATGCTGCACACAGTGCAAGTAGTTTTTTCTCCCTTTGTAATTCTCATTGTAGTCATTTGTACTGAGGGGGACAGTTTACAGTTGTTAGTGCTCTCTGATGGACAAACTATGTAAAAGCTGTCTTTTTTCTTCATTTTTAAGCACACTCTTTCTAGATTCCCTTGAGTCAATTCTTTGGATTTTTGTCTTACAGTTTATTTATCACACAAACACTGGTATATCCGTGATTACCTAATATCGGCTGATACGTTGTTCTGGCTGATTTCTATTTGTCGGGCTCTAGTGTGAAGTTGCGCGTGTTGACAAACTCACACAGAACTATGTCTCAACTCTGGAAAATGTCCAACATGTACCAAACTAAAGACACAGTTATTTGAGACCAAACTGGAGTCCAACAGGAAGTAAATATAAGACAGACACGTGACTCCAAAAGGATTATAATGTCAGTCTGTGCCAAAGAGTTGTGTACACACATGCACACACAGTATTTGTGTCCCCACACAAGTGCACGTAAATTACACCTCTCTGTGGTATAACTGACCCCAAACTATGGTGGATGACATTTATTTCTTTGTCTGTGAATGATGAAAATATTCGATCACACGCAGCCCATATAACATCTACAACATGAAATATTAAACACACAAGCTTTGTTTGTGACAAAGCTCTCTTCAATACTTTTGTGTATATTGGGGTTAAATATGAGGATCGGAGGATAGATGGACGTCATGCTGTACAGTCTTTAAAGCCATTTCAGGCAAATGTATGATTTGTAATTTTGGGTTGTATAAATAAAATTAACTATACTTCGAACAATGTCAAGAGATAATGTCAACAAAACACAATCTTTAAAAATTCAGTGTTTAACACAGAGGCAAAGTGTCTCAAAGAACAACCCAACCAATGGAGTGTGAAGACTGGATCTAACTTTTCTGTGTTTCTCATGCAGGGTTGTCATGATGCTCTGGAGGCTTTCCTGAAGAAAAACATCCAGTGGGTGATAGTTGCAGCTCTTGTTATTGCTTTCCTGCAGGTATGTAACGTCAATAAACAAAAACATGTTGCATTAGAAACATAATCTGACCAGACAGCAGTATGTACAGAATTACTTAATGCTCTTACACACAGAACTACAGTATGAAAAAAAATAGTTTTTTAAAATGTGTTTTGTGTTATATGTCATTTTAAAGGTTTGATCTGAATCTATCTTATTTTGTTGTAAATCTGTGCTATACTTTATACTTTATAAGTCCCCCTATTCAGCTTTTATAAGCACTGCACATTTACTATAATGTAGCCAAAAGCTTCAGTAATCGTCAGCAGTTATAACTTCCCCTATCAAGACATATTTTATATTATTGCAAGTATTGTCATTCATTATTTGTTTACACACCAGCCTCCAATTATTGGGAAAGTGTTGTTAAAAAAAACAGCTATATTTGATTACAACTACGTTACAGTGTGTTATGAACCATTTCTATTGCAAAAAATCTAACTTTACTGCAGGCAGATTACGAAAAATTTAATTTCTCAGAAATGCTAATGTCAATGTCCTCTCCTTGTGTGCGATTGTTTTCCTACCAGATAATGGGCATTGTGTTCGCCTGCATGTTAATGAGAGGCATCCGCAGTGGCTACGAAGTCATGTGATTCAGCTTCACACCTGTGTAGGAGCTGGCTGGTGAGGTCACGCTTATTGGGAGCTTCATTTGGAGACTTAAAATATGTTCATCTTATAATTCAGATGTGTAATGCACAGAACAATATATTTTCCCTTGTATTGATTTTGAATAATGTTTTCATAGGTTAGCAATATCTCTGCTTCTATACTGTGCATGTGTAGGAATCCAAACTGTTAGAAAAGGTTCATGTCCACTTTACTGTCAGGGTATGTTCTTGTTGGTTTCGAGGGATTCTAACATATTTTACTTTGCTTATTCTGGTAGAGACATTTTGGATCTGTTTTGGCAATGAGTTTTTATTTCTTGCTGGTTTCAGGCTGGCTGTTGGTTTCTATTTTTATTAAAGACTCTTAAAATTACATCAGAATTTGCTGTGAGTGTGAATACAAACAGGGAAAATAAATGCACCATATAGGTATTTATTTCAGACACAAATCCATGACAGTGTATATAATATTGGCACAGCAGCAAAACATTCAAAACTTGAGCAAATAATATCACATATTTAAAAAAAAAAAAAAAAAATTCATTAACAGAATATAAATAGATGTATTGTGCCAGTTCTTGTGAAAGGCACAGGAAACAAATGACATTTCCTACAACAAACACCAGCACAAGGGATGTGCAGTTCCTCTTTGAAAAACTGTCACCCTGAAACAGGCAAAAAGCTTGAATTAAATGTTGTGCTCATGTGGTCTCGCCAAGATAAGTTAATGTCATTCGGCCTCCAAAGCTTGAAAACATCAAGTAAACAATAAAGTGCCATAACAGCTTTTTTTTCAGACAGTAACTTCTGTGCTGCATCTTCAAGAAGGTTTAAGAGGGCGATATTCATCTAGAACGAGTTTAGCTCCTCCACCCACACAACAAGCCTGGAAGTTTTTGCAGCTGAGTCACCTAAGTGTCTATCTGTGTGTAATCTACTGCTTCTTGATGTTGACCAGTTGTTCCTTTCATCAAGACTATTTCCATGAAATGCCTCTTTACGTGTTTACATGACCAGCTTAATCCGCATTTAAAAAAAAAAAAGTAAGAGCAGAGCACAAAGTAAGGTATGAGAAAATACAGTACATGTTTGATGTGAACAAATATGTATAAATATGCTCACACAAAAGCTATCTCCTGTATCTGTATTTTTATGAATGGAATGTGTCAGAGCAATTGCACCATTCCTCGAGCAAAGACATTAACAGACCAGAAAGTTCTGCTGAACTTTCACTTCACAAAATCCTCCTGTCTTTGTAGCTTTGTAATAATTTGTGTTAGCTTAGAAGTAAACAGATGACGAGTCTGTGCCTTAAAATGTGAACAAGCTTGAGATACAGCAACAGGCAATCATATTACCTCAACATCACCACTAAATATAGTTCAGTGCATCACAATTAGTTTCACTGCACTAAGCAAGATTTTTAAGCCAAAATAAATCTTGTGTAAAGCAGAATCCCGCACCACTCCATAGTCACCATGTTTTTTCAAATGAAATTCTGTTTACTGTGTATGTACTTGTATTTGTATTCGTCACTTCAAATGAGTAGAGATGTTCATAGCTAAGACAAGAACTTTAATTTACAAATACGACAACGCCACAGTGTCTAGAATTAACAGGATCGTTGTCTTTATGGCAGACCTACTTTGAGCTTTGGGCGGGCAGTTTTTTTTTTTTTTTTTGAAACCCAAAAATCTTGCCAAGAACAGTTTTAACATGTTTTTTACTTGGCAAAAGGGAGATGTTGACAACTCTTAGGATGTTGTGCTGCTCAGTGCACGAATGAGAACGTAATCACAAATGCAGACTGTGTCCGGCTTCCTGTCAGCGGGACCATTTGATACCAGTTGGGTAGTTGGCAGAGAGAAATACCATGGTGTGCAAAAGCAGTGACACCTCTGACTCTGCAAAAAAATTAAACAAAAAGGGGCACAAAGTTAACATCACATTTTAAAGAAAATGTGTGTCAGTAAGACAGGGTTAAAGGAATAGTTTGACATTTTAGTTCCCTCAAAAAAAGGCCTTAGGAATAGGAGGTTTTAAAGTCTTATGAACATTTGACAGTAACATCGGTTATAGCTTCTTTTTTTTTTCTTTAAATCTGGTTATAGATCCAAAAGCTGGGGCAACAGTGGCTTTTGCTGCAGGAGACTGTTCAGTCCTTTTTTCAGTTGAATGATTAAATAAATAATTTTTTTTAATTCAATCAATTTTCTGATGCTCATCTGGTCCATGTCATGTTGATTTATTAGTTAAATCAACATATTTTAAATACCATACAGAGTACAATTTTTAGAAGAATACAAGTCTTTTTTACAATCAACACATGAAAGTATGATGGAAAATCAGTAGGGACAATATGGCGTAGTATAAAGTATAGTATAAAGTATTCATTACTTTGTCACAGTTTCAAGTACTTCCCTGCATTGTATAACAAGAATTTATAATAATTTAATTAATATGACTTGGACCTGGATAAGCAGAAGAAATGGATACATGGATTAAACTATTAAAAATAATTAAACAATTTCATGCTTTGCAGTAGTGGCAGTGTTTGCTACAGGTCCGATGCTGCTGACTGAAACTCCACAAAAACAACTGAACAGCCCCCTGCAGCAAAGTCCAATGATCACAATAATCCCATTTTTGTGTGCAACGTCCTCTGACAGCTTACAGTCGGATAGCAAAACAGACTTTTTAATACCTTAGATGGCCATTTGTAAGCAAAATGAATTCAGTGCTCTTTAACCTTTTCATGACCTGCAGAAACTGTGTACACTCGTTTTTGCACAGATTAAACAAATAATATGTGTTAATTAATGAGCTTTAGAGGTGCTAGTCGGCTGATTTTGCTTCCTTGGGACAGAGCAATGCTAACTGTTTCTTTGTTTCCATTCTTTATGGTAAACTAGGCGAGAGTTCGATCTTCTCATCTAGCTCCAAGTAAGAAAGCAACGAATTTTTTAACTATTCTTTTAAACATCAGAAAAACCAGACATACCAACTGATTGTGGTTGAAGTCACAAAATTGCAACAATACTGTACTTGAAAATGAGAATACCTTTCAATGAGGAGGACACCTGAAGCCACTGGGATAACCACTCACGACACTGGTTGATGCCAAGATTATCAGAATTGAGCCCTCTTAAATAACAAGCCTAGAAAGAAGGAGATAATATGTATTTGTAACACACAACTTACAGAGGAATAAAGAGTGTTCATCATATAAATCATGTTTGGCCGGTGAATACACAGAGTGACTGACCTGTTTGAGTTCAGAGTCACTGAGCTGGTGAGGGCCCAGCCTGCTGAGGGCCCGGTCCAGCTGCAGCAGCTCGAGGGCGTGGCTGTTCAGCCGCCGGCCTATCAGGAAACCTGGGAGGCGAGGCGTCAGGAAGAGCAGGGGGCTGATGTGCCTCTGATTGACCCGGATAACAGACAGAAGAGATAAGTCTAGTGGCGTTCGGGTTCAGCAAGCCCTTTGTGCAGGATGTGAGTGAAGTGTGTTTTACTGACCATGTGATGCACGCGCATCCTCTTCATGCCCAGAGGGGGTCCAGAAAACAGTCTTCGAACAGCAAGGATTTCAGACACTTTAGGAGTTGCTCCATTTTGCACCTGAAAATGCAGTGAAAGTGAGTTTATTCCACATTCATGCCATACTGGATACAGGATCATCTTGCTTTTCACCATTTACAGTTGTACTCAAAGGTTTTGGCAAATTACATATTCTGTTAATAGCTGTTCAAGACCAAATGATAAAATAAGTAAATTAGTAAATGTCGGTCAGTTGTTTTATTTATACGCGTGGAGAAATTTGTCAGGTCACAAGTAAAAAAGGTTTGAAACAACTGCTGTAATCTTTAACAAATAAATTACCTTTTATAAGATTATCACGTTTCTCTTATGTAAAATCCTAATCTGAAAAGTAACTAGTAATGAAATCTGTTAAGTAAATGTACTGGAGTAAAAAGTATAACATTTCCCTCAGAAAAAAAGAAGCCGAAAATGGAAATACTCAAATAAAGTATCAGTACTTCAAATTTGTACTTAAGTACAGTACTTGAGTAAAAGTACTAGTTACTTTTCAGTAATGTTCAGTTGGTTCAGTTACCTATGTAACACTTACTGGGTTTAATTAAAGCTAGATGATGCTAAACGTATTTACTTCATAACCAGGCTAAGTGTGAACCTAAAACAGATGGTACGACCAGGTTCTGATGTCTGTCAGATAACTGTTGATTTTTGTTATTTATATTCTGTTCAGTCAATTTATTAAACGTGAATGCATCAATTTAGGCTATGTTCAAGGATATTTGCAAAGAAGTGGAATTTATAGCTGGGATATAGAGTCAATATATAAAGAGAATATAATGTGAGAAGGAAAATACTATCTGTTCTTCATGTCTGCTGCACTATGTGATGTATTTTATAAACAGAACGTGACACTGTTAAAGCACTCTTATCATATTACAGTGTTCCTATCAACACATAGTTACTTACTTTAGCGCACAGGTCCTTAAGGCGAGTCTGTAGCTGACTGTCTTTGACTTTACTGCTCGTATACTCAAGCCCTTTGAGCACCGGCCAGTGGTGCCGTGCCCTGAGCGAATTATACACTCCCCGAAACTCTACCTGCTGCATGGGAGTCCAGAAGTGAGGGATCAGGAGCTGGCGGGGGAAAAAGTACCTGGCAATGAACAGGTGGAGATGACAGCAGAGAGAGGAGAGACACATGGGGTGATGGGAGAATATGTATCAAGGCACAGAACAGGAAGGACGATCCAATACATTGTAGGGAACAATGTATTATTAGGAGAATGAACATTACATTATTAGAGACTATCAGTAAGTTCAAAATGCTTTGCTGAGTATGAATCAAAGGATGCCAACTGAAATGAAAAGATGGTTATTTCAAAGTAACTCACATCAAGACAAAAACCAGGTAGTTGGCAAAGGGGGGGATGGATATCATCACCAGTGGGATGGCTTTGATCATGTTTCTGCGAAACTGAAACAAATGTCAGGTAAGTAAAGCCGCTGCAAGATAATAAACATTATAGACCTCAAGTGAAACAATGACAAGCAAAAAAAAAAATCACTCACAGAGCACAAGTATTGTTCTCCCTCCTAGTCTTAAACATCAGTACCACTGTAAAACGTATCATTATACCTTGCTGCAATTGCCATTAACAAATAAGACCATGGTAAACACAGTTGGTGTGTTCATCTCACACGATACAGTATGTATTGGAAATACTAGTGTCTCAACAAAGCCTCATTTTCCATAAAGCCTGATGCATTATGTCACTAAAAGGATAATTTAGTAATATTTATAGCGTGTTTTGCCTAATTTCAGAATCTACATTTAATCAAAAAGAGACCCACCTGTCTGAGTTTGTCCATCTCCCTGTAGGGCAAATCCTGGAACTTTACTCCAGAGGACATCTTTGCTTTTATCCTCCTCACCTCTTTGGTATCTTGGAACAGTAATTTGAATCCTGCAATGACACAGTGATAACAATAATGTTTATGATAATGAAAATACTGATGGAGGTTGACTGCATTTTTATAGCACTTTTCAACCTTCAGACAAAGCTCTCACTCAGCCACGTACTCAGACACCGTGCTGCCTGGCCACCAGGAGCAACTGCGGTTCAGTGTCCTGCTCAAGGACACTTCACTTTGTGAATAATAGGAGCGAGGGATCGAACCACACCCGCCATTTGTACAGTTTCTGTGGGGTACCACAAAATGATGAAATTACTTTAATTCATTTTAACAAAAAATGTATATATTTGATACAGTGTCTGCCACTATACTATAATGAATTCACGTGAAAAATTATGTTTGAAAAATATTGTGTGTAAATGCTGAGAATTTAAACTCTACTGCATTGATTGGTGATGAGTGATTCCTAGGTAGACTATCTTTGGATACAGCATGGAGGTCATGGTCTTTTAATTCAGCTTTGTAACTTGAGGACCTGGACTCCACAGCTCTCAACAATCAGTGGCCACTTCATTGGGTACACCTGTAAAATCTCATAAAACTGTTCAGCCACGAAGATTACTTTTATGATGCTTAAAATGTTTGGTTTTTGTTGACAATGTCATAGAGGTGTTAATTAAATTAGAAATTTTTGTACTGAGGTCATAGTTGGTGATACTGTTGTACTAGACTTTTTCCACAACCTTCCACCCCAAAAGTTGTCCATATTAACTTATAACTGATTTGTATTAGCAAACAATTTATTAGGCAATAATAAAGTCATTGTACTTTACTATGTTGCCTTATCAGAAGGTGGTACTCAAAATCTTTAACACAACACCAATCATTTACAATCTGGATTCTATATCAATTGAGTATTGGATATCGCTGAGGTGAGTGAGCAGTGGGTTTACCTTCCACAAAAGTATGGTAGAGCAGGTAAAAGCGAGGGAATCTCCTTTGCAGGAAACCTTCATATTTGCTATTTGCCCACTGAAGCCTGGAGGCGACATATCGACCAATACCTCGTCTCACTTTGGATGATGAGTAGTGTCTACATAGGGCCAACCTGGAAATTAGAAGAGGTTTACATGAATAACTTAAATTAAAAAAAGAAAAACATCTATCAGGCATCAGTTAAAATACAGAGTCCCCACAGTCCCCAACCTCCTTAGGGAGTCGATAAAAGTAACCCTGAACATTGTATAATCAGTAGACTGATCAAAAGAAAGAAGAAATTTATTCTATGTTGATAAATAAATAAGAAAAGGTGGCACAAGATATACTCAGATTTTACAAAATCGAAAAGTGTCTTGCCAAGTGTCCACAAATGTCTTTGTAGATCTCTTCATAGAACAGCAGATCTATCAGATGTCTCTAACCCAGTGTCCACATAGTGGAGGTGATGAGCCTTTTTAAAGAGATAAAATAAGCTTTTAAGCAAGCAGTTAGTAAAAAGCTACTCATATCAATCCCTTAACAGACAGATCTTAACACAACTTTGACAAGTTATACATGGTTTGACAGCTCAAAGTCTTCTGTTTCTATCTGTGTCAATGCAACAGCTTTTGACACAGAATTCATACTTGTGGCCATGGGTCTGGTACTGATACTGACCATTTATTCCACTTTTCTATGCCAAAAATATAGGCGAGGCAAAAAAAGATAACGACAAAAAAAACGTACATTTTTACCATGTTTATGCCTCTGTGACTTTGTTTCAGTATCCCTCATTCTGACTTCTTGATTGTAAAATTTACAGTTACCTTTTAAAGGAGACCGGGGTTATGACTGCAATCAAACCGGTTGACAAGCAGTAACCTTTTGGACTGTAAGATACTATTTCCGGGCTTGTGCACAATAATAGTGGTGCCTGTTACCAGGTTGACACCGATTAAATTCGTAGAAATCTGAGTTTCACCTGGATGCCCTTGTGTTTGGGTATATTAAAGACTAAAACCGCAGGTAGTTATACCTACGTTAAATGTTTCTTATCAAACGTAAAAACCGGTTGAGCTGATATCCACACAGACGAGCAGCTAGCTTAGCGCGGGTTCCAGTGAGATGTGAGGAAAACAAAGTGACAAGTCGTGGACAGGTGAAGACAGTTTTAGACATACCTGGACTGACAGGACACGTATGGAGAATAAAGCCCACTTGTTGTCCTGTTTGTCCTGAGACCACACAGTCGGACCAAAGACAAATGGTTACACAGGCTCGAACAGGACAACGCCATGTTTGACACCCGGGAGCCTCGCAGCGTTACCGTAATGACGCTCACATACAGGAAAGCCGAAAGCCGCCGACTTACCGTAATCACGACTGGATCACTAACCGAATAACGTTTGTAGCTGCACAGGGTCCCCAAACATCCAGCTCCTCCAAAGCCACAGGTTTACTACATATAATTTTAGTCTACATAATCTAATTTGATAATCAGTTATTTTAATATTAAGTCATTTAATTGTTGCGTGCATAACATGTCAGACTAAAGTAAAAAAAAAAAGGAACTTCATTATTCTCTGAATATTGCTGCCTTTTCTTGAGTACATTAATTGTTCTTCCACCATTGCATACGTATAACACAGAAAACTTTCTTATTTATTTGATGTTATTTCACATCTTCAAATATTTATTCTGCCCATACGTACATAATGCAATTTTATTTTTAAAATGGAGATGCAAGCCCCAAATAACCTTTGGTTTAATTTGAATGCGGTTTTAGTGAAATAAAAATTTACATGAATTAGAAAGTGACAATAGTTACATGAAATAAAGTTGCACTATGAAATAAGAAAAGACATGAAATAGAAAGTGGCATTATGAAATTAAATATGAGATGTCACGTTACGAAATAATGTTTTGGTTGCAGTAATATAATAGTAATGTCTTACGAACAGGTTTTAAGGTTTTAATTTGAGCACATTGTAACTCAAGTCACGTGACGTCGCGCGAATATAAGTGAGTGAGAGGCGGGGCTAAAGCTGATCGAACCCTTTCACAGGTCCCGGGCTGGAGTTGGACAAGAGATAAGGTTTCAGAATAATTTTAATTGAAAAAGTACCTACTGTATGTCACACACTGTATTTAAAAGCAGTTGTTGAAACTTCACAACCGTCGAGTGTTTTGTCTTATAAAGACGTAATGTAGCTTTGTTTCCCCAGACAATATTGAAAATGATCGCCATTTTACAAGCTAGGCCTCTTGCCAAGTTTTGCTAACAAACTTGGCTGCGGGCCAACTTTTCCTGCACGATTTTAGGACAGCGTTTGACGAGATGTAGTTAATGTAAGCGCTGGTTAGAAACTGCAATGCTGGAAATGGCATGCAGAGGGCCGCGTTGTAGAGTTAAATCCATATAAACGTGATGTCTGCCATCCAGAAGGTGATTCGAGGCCGCTGGCGACATTTTCAGTAACCATTTGGCCTCCAGGTGCGGCTACCAAATCAAATTTTAGAGTGGCCTATCTTATCGTTTTCCGTAGGTGGCTAATGCGCACAAAACACTAAACTCTTTTTGCATGTCAGAAAAACCTTGAGAAATAAGAACAAAAATATTCTCTACCGGAGACTTCCTTTTTGGGTCGAAGTCAAACTAACATGTGCTCGGGTTTTTTGCGCATTAGTCAAAACCAGTGAGGAAACGCACTGTGGCACCCTTATTGGACAACTGTATATCCAAATAGAAGCTTCATGTAGCTGTATGGACACTGTTGTGTGTATATATGCATGCGTAGATATCTCCTTTTAAATTGCCCAACTAAGGTTTTTAATTTGCACAGTTGAATCTAAATTTTCCCATATTGGTTCTAGGTTGCAAAGATCTTACTTGTAGTCAGTATAGTGACATTTGAGTGGCATATACACACACTAAGGCTTCTTTCTTCACTGTATCATCTTGCATGAATCTCTTTTCACTGTAAAAAAAAAAAAAAAAAAATGGCATTGGTTGAAAACTTTTGATTTGAAATAATTTTACATGGCAATTAATGAAATTTATCACATGTTGAAATGGCTTAAAAATGTGAGCAATTTGGCTATAATTTGGAATGGGAATGAGCAGTGGTGGATGAAGCACCCCGATCCTCTTACTCCTCTTTACTTTTAAGTAAAAGTAATTATACATTCAATGTTAAAAGACGAAGTTATATGATAGAAAGTGTGGCACACTTGTTGGATTACCTGCAGACTAATGATATAATTGGTTGTCATGGTTATGCAGTTTTTAATGCTGCATGTGCATCTAGCAACATGTTAGTACTATTATCTAAATTCCAAGCTAACCTGAATTGTCTCTTTGCCCTTCCCAGCTGAGCAACTAAGGTGTTCTCAGTAAATCCCCGCCTCGAGATGACGACCACATTCAGATTTGGAACCACTAGCGGTCCATGCAAGACTACCGCTGCTGAGAGGGCACATCTGGCAGAGGAAACTGGTAAAACTAAAGCTGTTCCTCCCAAATTTTCAGCATTTTAAATTATTGTATGTTTTAGTAAATATTAATTATGATGAATGTGTTTGTTCTTCTCTGATTTTAAAGCTGAAAAAGGGAACTGTGATCCAGATAAACTTTTGCAGTGCCCCTTTGACAAGAACCACCAGATCCGGGCTTGCCGCTTCCCTTACCATCTTATAAAGTGCAGGAAGGTGAGTCAAGCACTTGTATTATTGCAACTAATTCTAACATTGATAGGTATGGGGAAAGACCTCAGATGTCTTCTCTTACACTGGCATTTGTGCATTATTTTACACTCAGTTGCCAGTTCATTAGGAACACCCAGCTAAACCCAATGCAACAGTCCTGCAATAAATCCTACCTTCTAATAATTCAAATCATTTATATTTAGGATGGAAGACTATATATTAGAAAGTGACTACAATGTTGCATTAACAACTCTTTTTAAATAAAATTAAAAAAAAAAAAAAAAAAAGTTTGAACAAAAACCTGGTAGGATTAATTTTAGGATTGTTGTATCAGTAATATACTGGCAACTGAGTGAAAGCCAAGGGTATTTACAATCTTTGTTCATAACTGTTTATCATGTTGAGATTGAAAGTTGACTCTTGACCATGTAAACAGCGGTTGAACTGTTTATCATGACTTAAATATTTATCTTTGAGAAAATTACAACCAGTAAAACTCTGCAATAGTTTCATCAACTAAGCTGCAAACTGTATTAGACCCTGTATTACATCCATAAGGAAAAACATCTGGCAAGGAAGAAAACAGAAAACAGGTGGTAAGGAAATGTCAACCTGATTGAATAATTTGTCTGTCTTAAGAAAATCAGGAGAAACAAAACTTTAAAGTTGAACTTAAATTTTTTTCAGAATCTTCTGAATTGATATACCTGCCATGACTGACTGCAAGTTTGACCATGTAACTTGTGCTCCACTAATGTAGAATCATCCGCAACTGGCCAATGAGCTGAAAACCTGCCCGTTTAATGCTCGCCACCTGGTCCCCAAGCATGAGCTGACACGCCACACTGAGACCTGTGAGGACAGAATATCTGTGGACTCTGAGGATGGTGAGATTTTCACTTAACCGTCTCTTCCTCTACCCTGTAGGTTCAGAGTCGATGTGTGTTTAGTGTTTCCGAGTTGAGTTCTCCTCCGTTTACAGGTATAAGCACAAATGGACATTGGAAATGGCAGGTCCCTGTCAGCACCTGGGTAAATCCAAACACGACTGAGGACTGGGACAAAGGTATGATTGATGACCACAACTTCTTCATTTTATTATATATTTTTTTTACTTATGTTAATTAGTGAGTATTAGAGGTGATATGTGGATTTTTTTACCTCTGGACAGAGCCAGGCTTGCTCATTTCCCCCTGTTTCCGGTCTTTATGCTAAGCTAAGCATCTCCTCCAGCATATTTAGCATACAGACCTGAGAGTTGTATCAATCTTATTTAACTCGCAGCAAACAAGTGTTTTTACAAAAATATCTTAACTAATATAAATAAAAAAATCAGTGGTTGAGTGTGAACAATTCAATGCACAGTAGAGATTCCCACAATATTCTTTTTTTTCTCCCCTAGTGTACTCTGAACCAGACATTGAACTCACTCATTTTCAGTGTCTGTAAAGGTAACAGAGTGTTTTGTTTTGCAGAGGCTGATGATGCTCCTGCTCCATTTGTGTGGGGTAAAAACCCATCCTTGAATCAACAGTAAGTGGCCTGCTCCAACACTCTGTCTCAGCTCTTAGCACTTATTTGTACATATTTTCTTTGCTCTTCAGCACTTATTTTGTCTCATCTCTCTGCAGACTGGAGATGAGGCCCACCAACAATCTTGGTCCAAGTTTTAGAGCACCCAATACCCTCCCTTGGTCTGGGTTTAAGCCATAATATGTGCTTACTATATATCCAAAAAGAAGCAACATGTAGGTTAATGGACTCTATTGTATGTATGCATGCATAGATATCTTTTTAAATTTGTTTTTAACAAGTCTTTGCCCAATTAAGGTTTTAATTTGCACAGTTAAATATAACTTTTCCCATATTGGTTCTAGGTTGCAGAGATCTTATTTGTAGTTGCATGATGTGGAAAATAACCTAAATGCAAAGCATAGTGACTTTTGAGTGGCATATACACACACTAAGGCTTCTTTTTCCCGTGTATTATCTTGCATGAATCTCTTACACAGTAACAGATGGTATTGGTTGAAAACTGTGTGCTGTATTAAAAGTGAAATAATTTTGCCTGGCAATTAATGAAATCAATCACATGTTGAAATGACTTGAAAGTGTGAGCAGTTTGGCTATAATTTGGGATGGGAATGAGCAGTGGTTGAAGAAGCCCCCAAATCCTTTACTTATCTAAAGTAATTATACATTACATACAAATTAAAGACTTGATTAAAGACTTGATTACAAGTTATGTGTTCAAAATCTTAAAGTACAGATGTATTAACAGGTAAATGTACTTTTAGTATCAAGTAAAGGTACTGGAGACTGGACAGTTTCATAGTGATATAGATTATATTATTGGGGAGTTAATTTCTAATGGGGTAAGAACCTTGTGATCTTGTGAAGACAACTTTGCGTAAAATCTGGTCTTCAGCCCTTTATTGCCTTTAAAAGTATTTTTGTGATGTGAAATTAATTTTTTAATTTTTTTGCTTATTTTAATTCAAATGAACCTGTCTAAAAACTGACCATCTTGAAACAAGAAGTCTGAGGTTTGTCTTTGCACCAGAATTAAGAAAAAGGAACCCTGATTTCAGAAATAGTTTTAAGAACATGCAGACGAGGCGTCAATTTTAGACTAAAATAAGAGATTTCTGCATGGAACAAATCATAATTTCAAAGGTGACCATGTATTTTGTATGAAGAGAAAAAAAAAAAACTTAAACTTTAGAGTAACTAGAAACTACAGCATTGTAGTAGAGTAGAAAGTACAATATTTTCTTATGAAATTAGACGAGTAGATGTATAAAGCAGAAGAAACCCTTCAGGTAAATTACAATTAGCTCAAAATTACATTTAAGTACAGTCCTTGAGTAAATGTACTGTACTTGGCGAGTGTCCACTACTCGGAATGAGACCCGATGACTAATACAATAATGTTTACGTTTGAAGAGAAAAGGAAGAAATGTTTAAATTCTGGAATGAATTTCTGAAATATGAAATTGCATCATAACTTTAACAGCTTGTAATAGAATCTGTATTGGTTTCGTTGCCTCGCTTCTGTATCAATTTGCCCATGAAATTATCTCGCCATGAGACTCACCCCACCTGCTGATTGAATAGGTAACTTTTAACTAAACACATTTTTTATTTGATAGCTTTTTTGATAGAAGCGCCAAAGTTGTTGAAAAGTGCAGGTTGCTACAGAGAGCACAGTATAGGAACCCAGCATCGTTTGTTATTTTAGTCAGTGATACAGATACTTGTACTGTCCTAGTATGCTATTGGAAATTTTGTCCTGTGGAACCACCATTTTAATCATCTGTGTCTTTGTTTTTTTTTTTGTTTTGTTTTTTTTAGCTGCTTCTCAAAACGGGTCAACAGGCCTAAAGTGTAAAATCTGACACTTCATGCAGGACTGAAAATGTGAACCTCGCCTGTTTAGTGTCTAAATGTGATTGATATTTATAAGAACAAACATGGCTGAGTGGAAATTTTCAGAAGACAAAGCAATGTACAAATAGACGGCAAGACTGGTTAGGAGTAAATTCAAATGTTTATCTTTTTATAATAAATTCTAGTAGAGTTAGTCCATCTTTAGGATGCTCTTCCCAAGAGAGGAAGGTTGAACATATTGACTGTGTCATTGTGCGGCCACTGGATGGCGCTAGCTACTCATCAGTAACTTGAGAAGCAACCTGGCTTTATGACTATCTCTGCTTACTTCCCAGACCTTTCAAAACTTAATAATTTTTATTTGATTACCTCCTTTTTATTCAAGTAGCACCTCTGATTCATTTTTATTTTAATATGGGCACTTTCCAGGTATAAAGGACCAGATGTGGCTCTTCACAAGAGTTTTTCATGCTGAGAAAATGCCCCAGGTGAAAGCTCCAGGAGTGAGCTTCAAGTGACGAGTGAGTGTCAGGATAATCCCTGTGTGAGGGCGACCTGCCAGTGCTCTGTCATATCTAAGTGGCATTATTGATTTCATGTGATGACTGTCTATTTTAGTTGAGGCTATTATTGGAAGTGTTCAAGCGTGGTCTGTGCTGTCCTGTCACCATCTATAAGGATGAGATATGACTCCTCAGGGCAGAGTACGTGCAGAACTTTTAGTCTATGTAAGACTGTCATATCTATCAAGGAACTGCGACCCCCTCCTAGATGTACTCTACTCTGTTGTTACCTGCTGTAGTGTTTACTGGGTCACGTGGAGAAACTCATATTAGTTTTGAACTTTTAAAACTGTCACTGACTTGTCTTAAATGTCATATCAACCCCTTTAAAACCCAAGTCGGTGGGCCACAGCTCCATGTAGGAGCCAATGCTGCCAATTGAATATGACTCGATCTGTGGAAAAAAAAAAAAAATCTGCACTGAGGCAGTGACATAAATAGCTCCTCAGATGTTCTCAGATTTCTAAATACTGTGGGTGTTTATCTCTGATATTTCTTGAATATTTTTGGAATATGATTATATCTTGACATGGAAAAATGGTCAGAAATGTATCTGTATCCCTGGCTCAGTCTGCTGGTCTCTCATCAGACATAAATCAGAAACTTTTAAGGCTCCTAGTCCATTAAAGTACATGAGAGGGAGGTGTTTTATGTTTTACAATGTCCAGTGGAGGAAAAAGTATTTGAATGTAAAAAGGCATTTCAAGGCAAGTTTATTTATAAAGCACCCTTAAACAACAAGGCAATTTAAAGTGCTTTACGTAAGAAAAAAAAGCAGCAAGACAAGATATAAAAGAAACACAAGCACATATAAAATGATTAACAACAAATAAAATACATTAGACGATGATGATAAAACATGCAATGCCACACTAAAAAAACTCCATTACAAGTCCTGCACTGAACATTAAACTTCAGTAAAAGTACGAAAGTAGTAGCACCCAAAAGTATTTAAAGTATAAAAGTCCTCATACAGAATATCCCCGATCCCTGTGTTTTACAATTACATTATTGAATCATCATTCATCAGTGATACATTAATATGAAAGAAAGTACTCAAATGTTACAAATTTCAGCATGTTATATACTTACTTATATTTTAATCCATAAAAATGCATCATGTTTTATAAGCAGATCATGTTTTATATAAAACAATCTTAACTATAACTTATTAAATGTAGGAAGGTGAAAAGTACAACATATGAAGTATCATAAAAAGGAAATAGTCAAGCAAAGTACCAGTGCCCCAAACCCATACTTGAGTAAATATTAGTTACTTTCCACTACTTTAAATGTCAAATAGTGTAATCTCAAGTGAGAGGTTTATAATGGAAATGTAGATGGGGTTTGTTCAATAATATGCTGTTTTTTCTACCAAGATGCCAGACCAGACCATTTCCCTCTAAAATCACCTTGTTGTGGCCATTGATTAGTTAGAAAACATCATTGATTGAAACCCTTTCTGCCATTTTGGCTAGAAATCTAACGCCAAATCCATATTTACACTCCTGCCAACCGGCAACATAAAATGAAACTAAATAGCCCTAGTACAGCCTGTTCCAGACTGAGTGTCCAGTACAACACACTGGCAAAGACAAGAACTTGTTAAAACTGGTATTCTCCGTCACAAAACCAGCTTCTTTGCTCTTCCCTTGATTGAAATACCTTTCTAAATATGGCATTATTAAAAGTTGCATCACCCTATAAGACACCATTATATTTTGTCTACACTGGTTCTGAGTTTGACTTCATGTCTGTCCCCACAGGAATCTGTTTTTTATGACAAATCATCATTGCAGTGAGAAAATTCACATAAAAAAGCTCTGAAAGTTTTGAAAAAAATTGACCTGTAGAGCACATTAATTGAATTAATCTCATTTTTTTTAATAAATTACATTTTAGGGCATGCATTTGCATGCAGCTGGTCATTTGATAGTTTAAGGAAAGCAACTAAGTGTCCTCACCTTTTACTATGAAATGATGTTTAGGTTTAAATCCTGTTGCCTGCTGCTTATTTCATAGTTCACTCTTAAGATTCTGGTTCATTTGTGACACAGCAAATAGTTAATATGACACTACTGGTCTCATTGAGATGTGACCCTTATGAAACTTGTCACGCTGGACACCCTGCAAACAAGTTACAAGCACGCACCCCAGGCTTGTCGCCTGCAAGTGAAACCAAAGCCTCTCTGTCGGTCTCGTTTTATAATTGTGACATTCTCATATTCTCACAGACATAAGAGTCCTGCACAATGTGTGGTGGACAGTTTGGTCTCTGGAGCTGGCCTCTAATCCTGTAACTCTGTGAAGCTTGTGATCCTCTATTATCACTGGCATTTCATACTCCAGTCAAACAAGCTGCGTTCAAGTTGCTCTTGCTTTCCCCAGTTTCCACTGAGGCTGGTTTTGTAGATCATAAGAGAACTGTCTTATCCTGTCTTATCGCCATCAGTGTAACATCACCCACATAGGTTCTGTAATCAGAGTGATGCTGGCTTTTCCCAACTGTTCTTGTTGCATAAGTCCAACACTTGAAAGGTTATCAAGTCCTCCAACTATATTATGTTACGTTACAACACCAGACAGAGAATTTCAGAATCTAACTCAAGAGAATGATGACACCATCTGGTTGCAGCTTCAGATAATTTAGATGTTACTTATAAATTCAAGAGCAAAATCTTAAGTCTTCAGTGTTTGAGATGACATCTACAGAAAAACATCTTGGTGACACTGATGCATACATATATGCGTACACCCCAGTGTGCTGTGTACTGCTGTTATAGCTTTGTTTTTGGGCGCAGCAGGAAGCTGCAATCAGAGAAAAAGCTCTAAAATCCCACTGCACACAACCTGCACAGCACCACACAGCAGACCAGACAGACAAAGTCAGCCACAAGCTGCTGAACTTAGTGGAGCATTTAGCAGCTAAAGAGAAAGATATTTGTTTGAGAAGATGGTGGAGACCAAAAATAGACCTAAAATACTTGAACTTGGACTCCAAATGAACTATGATGTTGCTCCATAATTGCTGAACGTGTAAATAAGCAACTATTTGCTAACAAGTTCACCATATCAATTTAAAAGGTGATCATATATCAAGGTTGTGTTCACAACATGTTTCTGCTGCCTCTGAGTAGCCAAAAAAAAAATCTGTTACTGCAGGATTAACGTCACTGTACAGCAATTCCTTGGTACTTATTGGCCAATACACACACCAACACTACTATAAAGATGATTAGCTAATATTGGCTGATATGTTAGCTCCACTGTGGATGCAGCCTTTTTCTTTGTTTGTGTGTTCTTACAGGTCATGTGCTCTTGCTTGACTCCAGCCTATGGTTATTCCTCCTGTTGATTCAGTCAGTCTTGTTCATCATTGATTGATCGTGAGTCTTTGTATTCCTGCTGACTTTGCCTGTTTTGGATCATCTATAAATAGATGATCAGACAGAGTTGTCCCTAAGCCTCTTCTGCACTCTCTTGCAAAGTGAACCTTTGACCCTGTCTGAGATCCTGACTGCTCATGGATCAGATTTTCATTTACGATATCTCTGTACTTGGCTATGTTCAGCTTTCCCTCAACACTGACCAGTCCCTCCAGTCCCTGTCCCTGAAACACCCCCCCACAGAATCATGCTGCTATCAACATGCTTCACCGTTGAGATGGCATTGGGCAGGTGATGAGCAGTGTCTGGTTTCCTCCAAACATGACACTTAGAATTGAGGCCAAACTGGTCAATCTTCATTGCATCAGATCAGAGAATCTTGGTTTTCACAGTCTGAAAGTCCCGTAGGTGTTTTCCTCCAAACTTGCACTTGGAGGGGCAACCGTTTGGCCACTCTGCCATAAAGCCCAGATTGGCAGAGTGAAGAGTCCTGATTGTTCCCAACTTCTTCCACTTAAGAGTTAAGGAGGCCCACTGTGCTCTTGGGAACCTTCTATGCAGCAGATATTTTTTGTAGCCTTCCCCAGATCTGTGACACAATCCTGTCTCTGAGCTGTGCAGGCGGTTCCTTCTCCTCATGTCTTGGTTTTTGCTCTGATATGTATCGTCAGCTGTAAGACCTTATATAGACAGGTGTGTGCCTTTCCACATCATATCCAATCAGCTGAATTCACCACATGTAGAAACGGCTCAAAGATGACCAGGAGAAATGGAAGGCACCTGATCTAACATTTGTCATTTTTCCTTTTTAATAAATTTGCAAAAATTTCTAAAACAGTTTTCTTTGTCAATATGGGGTATTGAGTAGACTGATGAGAAAAGAAGATATCATTAGTATACAATATACTTATTTTAGGATAAGGTGGCAACATAACAAAATGTAAAAAAAGTAAAGGGGTCTGAATACTTTCTGAATGTACTGTACTCTGGGTCACTTGAGACCAGACCGCTGGCTTCTAAAACGAGAGCAGTACATAACTGGGAGGGAGGTGAACGGGTACATTTTTCAGGAGTATGTTCTGATGTTTTGCCAAAAGAAAAAGTTACAGGCAGCTGGCACAGCAGCATACTTAGCACTGCCTAACAACTTTCAAATGAACAGATTAACATACTTAATACAATGTAAGAAATATAGTTCTTACTAAAGGCCTGAGCAAAGATGACCAAAGCAGTTGTAATATGCAGTTTTACATTTTATTTCATGTTTAGCTGCAGTAAAATATAACTTCTTAGTATGTAAAAACGATAAACCCAAAATAAAATTACACTTTGACAGACTGTAGAATACAGTTCATGTGACAATAACACCTGTAGGCTCGAGACAGATTCAAAATAATTTACACACAAGACCAGTGTATAAGACTGTATTGGATGTTACACAGTATATTAGCTGCTCAATGTCTATTCATGATACATGAATGATATGCTAAATAATTATGTAGGCTTAACCTACTTTTTTTTAAAAATCACCAAATACATATGGTGCCATTAAATATAAACCAATCTGGATCTTTGAGTGATTCATGCTTCAGATGCCGACGTGTGTGGACTCACAACATCACTTTGGGGGCTGGAAAATCTGTTTGCTTCTGTGAAATTGGCCAGTTTGAATACTTGAGCTAAAGATATCACAATAATGCTTTGTCTTATATTTTATGTACAATTTACAGTCATCCAAATCACAAAAAAGGTTGTCACTGAAAAGAAAACTTTACATCCTTGAAATGAAGGTACAGATATAATATGAATTAATTTTTTTTTTTTTTTGGAAAGTGCAGTCATCTTCCCTCCATCAGAAATGTTTCCATTCATGGCACCATGTTGTATGTAAACAGTCTCCTCTTGGTCCATGAGCTGGCCTGTCTGATTCCATCTGGTGAGTACACAATTTCTTGGAAAAACAAACTAGTGAGAGCGTGTTTTAATGCCCCCATATATATGTCGCTTCCACAAGTTTAATCACTTTATAATACAGAAGTAGCCCTTTTCCTGTGGAGCTGCGTAATCCCTCAGGATGATTCTTCTTCTTATGTTCTTGCGGTTTCAGTTTATACTACCTGAAGTATGAGCACTCAGTCTGTTCTCTTTGGCTCTCAAACAAACTCCAGATTTTATATCGCAGATTGTCAATCTCCCATTTCACACTCAAAACGGAAGCGTATCCATGAAGATTTTCTCCACAATCGGTGGTGGGGGAACAAGATCTTCTAATTTAAGGTAAAAGATTCGCTGGAGGCCTTGAGTGCACAGAGTCCTGAGCTCAGGCAGTTTCCCGAGAAGTCTGGACAAATAATTTGGCCGCAAGGAGTCAGAGCCACAGCCAGAGACATGATCTTTAAGGCAGGTGATGAGCTGGTTCTGCAAGTCCTCCACACGTTTTGGCTCCTTAAGACCATGTCGGTCTGCAGAGGAAAGTAAGAGACATGTTGAGCATGAGCCTTATGCTTTATTATCACCACTTTAACCAAAAACACACAGTTTATCAATTTTTTTCCTCTTTTTTCCCCTCTCATTTGATTTTAATCAGATTTATCAGAAGAACCTTTACAGAAAACAAACTATATTTAGTTGAATACTACATTGTTAGAGTCGACATGTCGGAAGTGTTAATGCTACTACACTGGAAAATCCCTTGGCTTTAAACGTAAAAACCTTCATTGTGGGCTGCTGTCAAGTATGACATCTTCTCCGGCCTATATGAGCGGTCGTGTTATATTTTGTCACACAGCTGTTGTGTCTGTCCCATGTGTGTAGCAGCATTATATTGTCAACACCAGTGAAACAAGATTCCTCATGGAAACTGTTTCTTCCTCGCTCGATGAGAGTAACTCTGATCCTGATTTGTCACTTACAAAGAAGTTAAAGCCTGATATGAGTGAAGCTCTTACCGGTGATTATGACCAGGGCTGTGAGACAGGAGAAGGAGGAAACGTCGAGCTTCATGCGATGGAGGCTCTGAGAAAACTCCAAGATGGAGTCGATCCAGTCCCCAAAGCCTCGGACACACTGAATTTTGTGAAGCACAGCCCCATTGCAGAAGATGAGCTTGTCCGTTTCAGGATTGGACCTTTGACAGAAAAAATGACACAGCTTGGTTATCAAATGTCTCATGTAAGTTGTATAATAATCCTGTCATAATAATAATAATAATAATGATAATGTCTGTTGCATATTACTGTTGTCTAAATCCATTGTAAAGGTTCTGTGGGAAGCTGCACTCACCGATATGCAAGACGGAGGATGAAGAGTTCAACAAACGCAGACTCCAGCAGAAGTTCCTGGTCTTCTGAGCAGAACTCGGAGAAACCTGGGATGCTCCTCGTCCACGTCCTGATGACCTCCATGGAGGCCGTGAGAAGGTCGTAAAACTGCTTGATGTCACTCGCATCCTCCTTCCGGTTTGGACTGACTTCTGTCTCATCGTACTGAAATTACAGCAGAGAAGTTCAGACTGACGCCTAAAAGAGCAATCAGTTATTGCAAAATAATTTTTTAAAAAAAGGAGGGATGTCAATTCTTTTTTCCTACCTTGGAATAATCCAGTTTCCCAATGCCAGGGTTTGAGTCAATGTGCGCCCTCACAAGAGAAGCAATCATGCTCACTGGAGACACATTGGTCGTCACATCCTGGACGACTTTAGGCTTGGAAGGTAGGCGACCTCTTCTTCCTTTTAGACTGTCTGTTCTCACAACTGGGAAAAAAAAGACAACATCGATGTTAATTTGATTCCATCTATATCATCCAAATAATTCTACTGATTCATCTTTGTTTGTACTCAACTCACCTTCCCTGACCATGCCTACAGTTAGACACTTCTGGAAACGGCAAAACTGGCATCGATTCCGCCTTCTCTTGTCCACAGGACAATCCTTGTTGGCAAGGCAAACATACTTGGAATTTTTTTGCACCGTACGCTGTAAAGTAAAAAGAAGAATTACTCTAAAATGGTCTAAAAGACACAAAGCAATCTGTTAGATGGCACAGTTTTCTCTCTTCTTATTGAACCCTTGTCTGTTTCAGAAATAGATGAGTTGGCTGTATAGGAAAGTCAGATTTTATTACCTTGAAAAAACCTTTGCATCCCTCACAGGTGCGAACCCCATAGTGCTGACAGGAGGCGTTGTCCCCACACACAGCACAGCAGCCTTCATTTCCACTTGGGCTTTTTAATTTGGGCGATAAGCTTCCATCCAGCTGGTCGTTGCCATCAAGGCTCCGCGCTTGCTCCATTGACAAGGCAGGGAAGGTCAGTGCTGATGGGAGAGGATGGGCCAAAGTGAAAGGATCCTGATCTCTTAAGTGTGGTTGACCCAAGTGAGACATATCCTCCACAGACCCTGAACCAAATGTGAAGAAAGAGGGTGCATGTTGCACTGAGGTCTCTTCAGATGCCCAGTATCCTGGACTGGGTGAGTATGGACCAAATGCTGAATCCCAGGCGGACGTATGCTGACTCTGAAACCCAGGAGTTGAAGGAGACGAGGCCGATGCGGGGCTGCCAAAATAATCTGAACCGCCAGGGGACACAGCCTCCTCCGGGTAACTCAGGGTGAAAGTTCCAGGGTAGCAGCTGTAAACCTGGAGGTCATCCAGCTTGAAGGGGGTCTCCTGGCCTGACGATGGAGTGACGTGGGCAGGGGCTGCCGTGAACTGGCATGAATATGCGTCAAAGTCGCCAGAGTTAGTGCCCACCAGGGAGCTGATGCTTGGCAGGGATGGAGCAGAGAGGTGGTCCCGTGGGCTGCTCATATCCACAGCCAACCTGGAGATAAAGTCTGCACTTTGAAGCTCTGAGCTGCCAAGGCTGTTTTCATAGGGCTGAGATCCATGTTGGGGGTGTATGCAAGTCATGGCTGCAAGACTGAAAAAGACATGAAAAATATTAGAGCCAAACCAAGCTTGTTTTTCGGATCTTTATCTTAAAATTTCAAGACATGGCCAATGAACCTGTCAAGAGTCCATGTAGTGAAACTGAGCAGCTTGGCCTTCATTCCCCCTCTCTCTGCACCGTGCACAGTGTTTCTGTGCAGGAGTACTATGTAGTCCCAGGTCTGCCATGTAGTGCTCCATATTTGAAAATTGGATAATAATGCTGGACCCCCCTTAAGCCCCTTTATTGTCAGATGTTATTGTGCTATTTTAGAAAGCATCCCCACTTTACAGCATTTTTATTCACAAGTACCTGAATCTTTTACAAAGTACTGTACATCTGAGCCTTCACACTCACCACCCCACAAGACAACAGCATGTCCTGTAAGGTGACTGTAAAAGTTGTAAAAAAAAAATGACAGATTTTTATGAGTTCTTCAAGATGCTTTGAACAACCTGTCAAGTACCAACACAATGTATTTGTGCGGAGTTATTGCAAAAAATGCTTTTATTTTGCAAACATACTAATAGACACATAGACACATGCAGGGGCTGTGGATATAACACCTCTAAATATAACTTCAAATACTTTACTTTCTTGTCGGTAAATGGTGAAGGGGCGGCTGCTTTCTGCCCGATTTAAAGTCATTTTAATGGCCAGGTGTCAGTATCGCTGCACGTTTAAGAATAAGTCTACTGTATTGAAATCATAGACATTTCTTACCTCTTATGGCCGTCTACAGGTATTTGAACTATCTGTGCTCCACAAACGACCGTCTGTCATCTTCAGTATTTCCCAGCTGAGAGTAGTTCCTCCGCGCTCACCTCCACAGCGCTTTTATACCGTCTGCTTTACCGTACCCATGACGTCAGAGAAAGGTTTCCATACAAGGTTGGGCGGTGGGCGGGGAGATTTCCAGCCCCCGGCCAATCACTGCGCGCATAGGAGACAATAGTCGTTGGATGACGCACTCCGGGATTCCGTTGACGCGCGTACGGCAAAGAACCGCCGACACGCACAGACACACAGACACACAGACACACAAAACCAGACAACTAAATAAAACTCAATAAAGCCGAATAAAACTTTATATTTTTAGCAGGTAGAGGCGAGGTTACAACGTCGTGATCAAATGACATACTTAACAAATATCTCTGTTGTAGTGTTGTTGGCTAAGTTTTGATGATAAAATGGAAAAATGTGATTTCATAATTTAGCCTGTAAACAGGAAGCCACAGATGTTTTTTTCTCTATTTCTGGGAGAAAAACTATTTTTGATGCCTGCTGTCTTATGGTAAAGGTGAGGAGAAATACTGCTAAACACTACATAAAAAAGTATTACTGGACTATATCATAAAAAGATCATAAAAACAATCAAAATAGTACCTATTTAGTGGCATTTTCAAAATAAAGAAATAAAAAGATCCTGTGCTTTTTCTACTGGGTCTACCCTCTAAAGATGTGTCTCCTCCTTCTCTGAAGTTTAAATTGCTGCATAAAGGCTGGATTGTTAATTTTATTACCAAATTGGAGGATCAGCTCTGTGTTTTAATCACTGGTCATTTTCTATCTGGACTACGGTATCTCCCAGCATAGAGTTCATTTGTTGTCAAAGCGAGTTTATTTCTTGACCTGCAAACCTCCAATACAGACTATTGGAACTGGATACACTTAGGTCAAAAGGTCACACAACCATTGTGGATTGACCTGAACTATGGAATCTATATGTGAGAGAAACAGGGTGAAATTGAAATTTTTGTCTATGTGCACACATATATACACACACATGTAGAATTTAGGTTCACCTGGAAAAAATTACAACAAAATGCATTTTATCAGAATTTGTAAGTTGAATGTTATAGCTCATTACAGATCAGTAGCACAACTAATCAGTGATGTCTGTGAGGTTTTTGGTGAAACCCAGGTTTAAAATCAAACCATGTCACCTCACAGGGGTCATAACCAATGAAAAGCATGATAACCAATAGAAACAGAGTCCATTTGTTCATTGAACTCTTTACAGCCTCTTCTTCCATAAAGTAGACCGGAACACAACCAAACTTTGATGCTCACTTGCTGATTGGATTATCATAATAACACATAAGGAACCAGGCGTGAAAGTTCATTTTGCTTTTAAAGCCTGGGATCATTGATATGTTGTATTGACAGTGAGACAGATCAGTCAGTGTGTGTACAGGGCTCATTTAAACATTGCATGTGACAGCGGCGTTTTCATTGTGAGTGATAGGGTTCACCATCCCAGGGCGCTAAGGGTCCCAAACACTCCTGTGTGAGAATTGATTTGTGTTAATTTAATTGAAAACGTATTGGGGAATATGCACCAAAAGGACCAACATCCACTGACATGAAGACTTTAGGTGGGTCCTGTTGTGAGGCCTTGTCTTGATGAGGCGCAACTTGTCACACTCTAATTGTAACACCTCAGTTTTGTGTATCTATAATAGATTAATGTGTTGAATAAACTCAACACAAAGGAAATCTAGGGCCAGGTAAAATTTTGCATTGTAAAACATTGCACTGTGGGTAGAACAACATAGCACAATACAATCCAATGACTCATGATAATAATAAGCTTTCTACAGCTTTTAATGTTAACCTCAAGGTTGGACATGCTCGTATTAAGATGCTTTTCAACTCACCACAGCTGTAAAGAGTGGTTATTTGAGTTACAATAGCCTTCTGAGTAAAAACTCTAGCGATAGTTGTGTGTGAAAATCCCATCAGATCAGCAGTTTCAGAAATACTCAAACAGGTTCATCTGGCGCCAACAATCACGTCACGATCAAAGTCACTGAGATAACATTTTTTCCCCCATTCTGATGTGTGATGTGAGAGTTAACTGAAGCTCCGGACATGTATCTGCATGATCTCTTGCATTGCACTGCTGCTACATGATTGGCAGGTTAGATAATTGCATGCATAAGCAGGTGCACAGGTGTTTTTCTGAAGTGATCAGTCAGAAACCACAATAAAACAACTTCAGAAACTTTGGCTTCTCTAACTTAGAATCAACATTAATTTGCACACACACACACACACACACACACACACACACACACACACACACACACACACATATTCTTTTCAGGCCTTCTCTGAAATCCCAGACGTGCACTTCCCTCCCCACCTGGACATTGTTTTTTTTCGAATCACTTTCGCAGGCCTCAGTAGCCTATTTTGCTCTCTGCCTCTGAATGTCATTAATAAACCCATACTGACACTGTGGAAGGAGGAAGAGCTTTTCACAACTACTGATGCAACGGAGGAAGCAAGTGAATGACTGGGCATCTGTGATGTCATGCCAGCACTAACTGGGCCTCCCTGCTGCACAGAAACTAATTTCACTTGTTATCTGATCTGGATTATCAGACACAGTCTCTTCCTGCCAAGAGTGACTGTCATCATTTTGGTGACATCAACAGGATCTTTCCTTTGGATCTCCCTTGGGCGCACATTCAAATGATTTGGGGGAAGGGACAAAGTTGTTGGTCAAGTTATAATGTTGATTTTATTGTGTATCTGTGTGTGTGTGTGTGTGTGTGTGTGCAGGCTGATGTGAGTGTCTGTATTTGACAATGCAATGTGCAAAAAATGTGGACTTTGTGTGCAACTGTTCTCACACACTTGCACACCCACACACGTGTACTTGTTATGTATTATCACATGTGCACAGCCAGCGCTCCGCCCCCCACCTGTTGCCCCCTCAGAGTGCTATTTTTGTGTTGAGAAGATGTTTGTCATTGTGGAGAAATACTCCAGTTCTTCAGCTTGTCATACCCCGAAAACACATCCCTGTTTGATTCTGGTGAGTTTATACTGTAATTTTCAGATGTGAGTGCTGCACACACTGCGTTATATTTATATAGATTACAGATGTACAGCCTGACTTAAACATTTCCAACTGTTATGGCTGGAAAAAAAGCTGTTATAGCTGTTGAAGTCAGTTGTCTATTAGATCGCTGGTAGTTTGCATACAGATGTAAATCAGGAAGAGATGATGCTATCAGCAGTGCTTTGCATCTTTTTCCGAACCTCATAGGAATCCACTGCTTATGCACAAGTATGGTTGATTTTAGCCCTGCATTTAAGACATTTTAGTCTTATACACTGATTTTTAAGGTAAACGCTTTATTGTTGAGCGGTAGCCTGTAATTTAGTAAGCCAGGGAGGTGTCAACACTTTTCGGATTTTATGTGTCATCACATGATAAAAAAAAAGTGATAGTAAGTGCCCTAATATCACTGCTATTTTTGGCTTTAATGAAGACTATCTGTCAGGGCCCCAGTCAGATAGAAAGATATTCTTATCTTGCATGTAAATCAGAAAAAAAAATAAGCCTCTAGTCACTTCACAAATCCATTACTCAGCTCTCTCCTAACACTCTGTGTGAACATGTCTGGAGTTGACTTACATCAGCCCCTTTACTCCGTCTAAGAACAGTCTGTCTTAGGACTTAATAAATTTGCGTCTTGACACAGTTGGTGTGCTGCACCCAAAATATCAGCTTCTCCCAGTGGGCAGGACATCCAGAACAAGGTGATCGGGTTCAAACATACCTTTGTGACACTGGCCTCTTCATGCTAAGCTGTCACACTGATGGTTTCATGGGGGGGTGCTAGTGGGGATTGTTTGCATGCAACATGATATGAATTCATGTCTATGTGTGTGTGTTTGTGTGTGTGTGAATATCTGTATGTATTTCCTTGTGTGTTTTATTCATGCATGTTTTATTCAAGTTGTTCTAGAGCCTGAAATATAGAAATACCTGTGTGATGTAATGCAATGCACTGCACGAGCCCTGTAATAAATGCTACCTTACTTTAAAAAAGTCCAGCTTTTGTTAAGTCTACAGCCACATTAAAGGGCTGCACTTAGGCACAATGGTGCTTTGTTGTAAAACCCCAAAATGCCTGATGGTGACACTAGAGGAAAAGTCAGGGTTCATTCTCTGGGGGCCATCGATGGCTGAGCCAAATTTCATATTGATCCATCCAATAGTTGTTGAGATACTGTATATTGCCATCCCTATGGAGCCATTTCCACTAAAGTGAACGCTGTCAAACACGTCACAACACAATCTGCCATAGGTGGTCAAATGGGTCAAGACCTGGTGACTGTGAAGGGGTAATTTTGTCTTGTATGTAAACTGTTTTCCATTTTCTTTTGTTCACTGAAGATAAATGTAAAAATGAAAATAAGTTTAAAGAGATGAGAAATTAATATACTGCTCATCACATTACCAGTCACATTTTTGTATTGATTGAAACTACACAATGAAACAAAAATAAATCCATCATTTATTTTTCTTTTTTTCAACAAAATGGATATGAGAAAAGTAGGAGAATGTCAACGAGAGATGTCTGAGGTATACTTCAATACCACAACATGAAATATGTTGCGAAAAAAAAACTGAATTCACAGTCTATGAAACTGACATATTTGGAGAAGCTGCTGTACCCATGACGAAAACATGACTCAACCTCCTTGTGACTCTTCCCCTTTTATTTGACCAAACATGTGAGGCAGTTTTCTATCAGCTCCTACATTCCTCCACGAGGCTTAAGTCACCGCTGTCCTTATCGGGTTCCACTTTCCGTGAAAAGCAGATCAGACATCACACATAAAAGATGGATCACATTTTAGATTCAGTTGACATAAATTATGACCTCCTCTCCGGAGCTGCATGTCACTGTCATATTTTGTCGTTTTGTTTTAACCCATTGTTGTGCATAACATAGTCACTGTGTTTTTAATGACTGTTTCAACTTGTATGACTGT